CCCCCCCCCCCCCCCACCGGCCACTGAATACGCTCTGATGAGGTTCACCCAAGAGCATCAACAGAAAAGACAGGAGCAGCAGCAGCAGGAAAGCGGCCGCGATTAAGCCAGGTCGAAAGGCAAGGCCAGAGGGCAGCTGCCAAGGGGCCCGCTGGGGAAGGGGCTTTACCTTCAGTGTAGGGCACCGGATTTCCAATCTTGGCAGGGACGGCATGGCCCGGCTGCAGAACCTCCATTTCCATCAGGACCACCACTCGCCTGCAAAGGCAAAGACGAGTCGGCTGCCGGAGACCCTGGGCCGCCCTCTCGCCCACCAGGAGAACCGTAACCCACCCTCCGCTCGGATTCTCCCCATTGGCTGGAAACGGTCTCCTCCGCCTGCTCTCCAAAGCCCGGACTGCGGCTTCTTTGCCTCCTTTGCTTCACTAATAAAAGCGACCCCTCTCCTGATCGACACCCAAAAGGGAGCCCGGACGGAGCAACGGCTGAAGCGGGCCCAGCTCCCGGCCAAGGAAGGCCTGCAGCCAAACTTCTCTACCCTCCCCACGGCGCTTTCCAGGCCGGGCACAAGGCCAGGGGGGGCGCAGGGCCCAGAACGGCCAGCCCACCGAAAGGCACCGAAGGTGTGACCAGGAGGGACCCCGGACACATCCGGGCAGGGCCAGCAGGCAGGTGGGCCACCCAGCAAGAGTAGGGCGGGGGATTTGGCATGGGGAAATGCTCAGCCCCTCCACACCAAGGAGCCCAGCCCGCTCCCCGCTGCGAGGGAGCTGCCTGCAGTGATCTTTGCTGCCCCTGAAGCGCAGAGCCCAGTCTCCAGCCGAGCGTCTTTCCCCACCAGTTTGTACAAGGCGGTGAGGATACTGGGCTCCCCGTTTCCTTTTGCTAACGTCTCAAGCGAGGCATTTTTGGGGTGGCGTTTTCATGGTGCTGCCCACTACGATTCCTTTCCTGGCCAGCTCCTGCCCACCCGGATCCCCTTCAAATCTAAGCTGGGATGATGGTGCTTAGGGTTGCGCTTGCGGGGGCCCCGGGGCTCTCTGAGCTCGGTTGTTTCCTTGCAGACGTTTCACCCCCCCAACTCGGGAACCTCATCAGCCCCCCCCCCCCAAGCTCAGAGCGCCCCGGGGGGCCCTGCACGAGGCGGCCTCTTCCCTGCTGCTGCTGCTGCTGCCCTGGGTCCAGGCGTCTTGCCGGTCCCTCATACGACCCAAGTTGGTCTGAAGCCCAGTTTGCAGCCGGCTTGTGAAGAGCTGCAGCCGAGTGCCTGAGCTCCAGCCCAACCCTGTTTCTTTCAGGCCTTCCCACCTACAGGAGGGGCCAGACGGGAGTTCTTGGGGAGCTTTAGGGGCAAAATTCCTGGCAATCCTGGCTTGTTATTCTGCGATAACACAAGGCAGCCTCTCCTCGAACGCAGGGGAGAGGCCCACCCGCCCTCCTCGCTCTTTTCACACCCTGTGTGTCAGGAACGATT